TTTTGATATATTCTCAATAACAAGAGAATGTGGTAATGATTCAGACAGTAGAAGCTAATTAAGTAATCAGTTCTAATGACTAACCAGGTGCAGGCAAATTTGAATTGTCCGAATGACATTTTGCTCAAATTACAATTTCGTACTAAGATACCAGAACATTGTGTATTTTCTTAAAAAATTTACAGATACTGTTAGGCCATGTAAAACTAATAAGGCCTCATGCTGGAAGATTATTTTCAAAATGAGCTTACTTTTTTCTCAGTGGGTAAAACTGTTAACATCTATGAAATCATCTTCTTTTATCAAGGTTTTTTTTCCATTCTTTATCATAAATACCCTGGCCAAATTTGGCACCATGGCTTTGTGTAAAAAATAAATCAATCCAATTCCAAAATAGCCGTCCAATCAAATTTCACCTTGTCATGACAAATGCAACAGGTACATCATGTGGCATTAAACTTTATTTTCTTAATTCTTAGGAAAACATAGTTTCGAGCAAACGTGCACGTATAACAATCTCCAAATTCTGTGAAAGATATCAAGAAGTTGTTTGTACATTGTCACAGTTGTTGATATCGATCTTTGTCGAACTCGCATCTCACATCCAGCAGGGACATTTTGATTGGTTGGTGATTTCAAGTTCATGAGACAGAGGAATTCTTTACCACATTAGTAGATAAATAGATGGGTGATGTTCCATCATGAAAATGAAGCTATGTGTCAGCTAGGCCCAGGGTATTTAATGTAACAGAATCACGATGCAAAACCCTGGATACCTGAGGATGACTTGTGAGACAAGGAAAGATAACTGAGGATGACTTGTGAGACAAGGAAAGATAACTGAGGATGACTTGTCAGACAAGGAAAGATAACTAAAGATGACTTGTCAGACAAAGAAAGATAACTGAAGATGACTTGTCAGACAAGGAAAGATAACTGAGGATGACTAGTCAGACAAGGAAACATAACTGAGGATGACTTGTCAGACAAGGAAAGATAACTGAGGATGACTAGTCAGACAAGGAAAGATAACTGAGGATGACTTGTCAGACAAGGAAAGATAACTGAAGATGACTTGTCAGACAAGGAAAGATAACTGAGGATGACTTGTCAGACAAAGAAAGATAACTCTATTGTGAAAATCAGAAAACAGATCTTTCAATCAGAGACAAAAGTATAAATATTTTTAAGAATCTGAAAAGGAATTATGACATACCTGATCCAGACTCATTAGATATTGATAGAAGATGAAAATAATTTGATGATTGCATATGATATCTTACTTCTGTGCACAGTAATATCTATTTTCATGAAGCTGATAAGAAGCTGATTTAGTAAAACCGAGTTATATAAGATGATGACCTAACATCATTTATGAAATTTATGTTCATATGAAGAAAGATATGAATTTATGAACGCAGTGACAGTCTAGGTATTTTTAAGGCCATTTCAATTTATTCATGTTGAACAGAAAGCCTTTCTAGATGTTTGAAAAAGGTTAAAAACCCAAAGTCTCGGGTTTATTCAATCTTAGGTTTAATTGAGCTTAGTTTTGATTTGCATTTTTGTGCAAGATATTTTGTAATTTTGTTTTGACAACAATTTTCAGTATATATCTGTAATTTCATCAGCATATTGATGAAACAATTTGATTAGAAAACAAGAAATAAAACTGATTGGGCCTTGCAGATCTACTGTCACAGTATGACATATATACCATGCAATGGTACTTGTCAATATGTTAATTAGGATGCATGAAATATTTCACCTTATCAATTTCAATGCATTGTTTTCCTTCACAATTTCCTTTGTTTTGAATTGTGATTCTTTTCTACACTTTCCATTATCAATATTTTGTATTACGAGAAGAGTCTTGATTATTTGAGTATCATTTGAACTAATTTGTTCTTTATCAAAACAGGATCATGATTTTGTCAAATAGACACTATTTCAATGTCACAACAAACACTTCGCTAATATATAAATACTTTCATTGTCTCAATTTGAGACAAGAAGAAAATGATATGACATATGAAATAATCGTATTCATATGAGCCATCTGAAGAAAACTGCACAACCATGTAACTGTCAAGAGTTATCTCCCTTGTGTCAAGAGTAATCTCCCTTGACAAAACTCTCTAACACATGTACAAGCAATGCTTGATCTAACAAAATAAGTTGTAAATTGATAATACACCATGCCATATTCATCCATTCCCCTTAAATATGGAATATTTTGTAAAAATGGTTTCAAAATGCAAATGTGATATGATATTAAACCATCTGACAGAGATTCAAATGAAAATTGATTGCATGATTGTATTATGCATTAACAGGAGTTAAAATGATGCTATGTCCTTGAGAATTAATGATACCAATTATGAAATAAATAACATGATGAAATGTTTCTATTTGAATACATGTAATACATGATGTGAGCGTTGAGTCCAATATCAGTTCTAATCATGGAACCTGGGAATCTATACAATCTATACAAGCGTTCAATTTCAATATCCATCAAAGAGGATGTTGAATAATTCATGTTGTACTGATGAAAGTACAACTGACTGTTGATCAATGCATTGTATAATAGAATTCAAATAAAGACATTATCAGGCATTCTAACATAATGGGAATAATGTTGATATATCATTTGGAAAACCATTTGTTATTTGTCTCTCATCATGCTTGATTATGTAAAAACGTTAAAGTCATTAAGGGCTGGTCTTTAAATGTTCAGCCTCTAGAATATAAACTGGTCATCATCAAGTACAGTTGAATCTCATTAATAAACCAATGTTATCTGAAATATCACAACTTCAATAACAATACAAATCAAAATCATCATCATAATAATAATAATTTATCAAGTTCCATTTACCAAGTGAGTACTTATGACAGTGTATCTTTGTGTGCTCTATGTTCATTCTCAGCTCCCTGGGAAATATACGACCTCAACTGCATGTATCCAAATTTAGCCTAGATATTGAAGACTCTTGTTTTTCATTTCTTCTTGGTCAATTTGCCAAAATATAGGAACAAAATATAATGGAATGAAAGTTTAAAAAATTATTTTTATAAATTATGAAAGCATATTTTCCACAAATACACATTGAAGCACCCTTCAACATTCGACAAATGAATCATAGGCCCTATGGGGTTATCCTTGCTTGTTGATGTAAAATGATATCCTTTTTTTTAGATCTTGATCACCAGTCCATTTGAGATATTGAGATTCAACTGTATTTTTTAATTATTCTATTGTTCTAAAAATACTGCCAAACCTGCATTTATTTATGCATCATGGACAAGGTTCTTGGAGTTACTGGAATTTGAGAAAACTGATATGCTGACAATGAGAGGCTGAATGAAGTGAAATGTCGTTTACTCTTTGTTTCAAAATATGTAGATAGAAAGTGTACTTGCAAGCAGTAGCATATGATATGAAGTGAAATATTTTTTTGTAAAAATGTATAAAAAGTTGATTTAATACAAGTGAAATAATACTTAAAGATAAATAAAACATTCTAAGTGTGTCTAAGTGGAATGTGTGTCATAGATGAATAAATGTTAAAATGAAGAAAACATGCCATTAAAAGGTACCAAAATCACAACTTCAGACGTCCATTCCAATCAGTTATGTTATAGATATTTTATTAAAACTATCAGTTATTGTTAAGGCAAGCAGCTGAGCCTTATGTGTAGGCAGTCACAACTTCTTTGAGTGGCAGTTTTTTTGTGTAGGCATTTTGTTAGTGTAGGTATTTTGTTAGTGTAGGCATTTTGTTTGTGTCATTTTACAATGTTGTTTCTAAACTTCAAGGGATAATTCTTTTGGTTGACATTTAAAGTACATGTATATCATTTCATAGAATTCAATATTTCTTTTTCAGATTTAACGATCACTTCTCCTTTACCAAACCATTTCAAATAAAACTTTATGTATCATTTGACATCTTTGCACCAGTTGTAGATTAATTGTGGTAATATAAGTCTTTAACAAAGTACTTCAAGGTATTGTGTATAGAATGAATGCCATATAAGTGTTTCTGTAAATAATAGTTTTCATTATGTCATTACAGTAAGTGTTGCATCAAACTCAGTACATCTTGAATCACAAAATTGTGTACTTAATAGATTTAGTCAGTTGTATAAATGACTTTCCTTCTTTACATGCAGATTTGTTGTATGCCACCAAACATCAAAGTGAGTGAGTTGGGTTTTACGCGCTTTTAGCAATATTCCAGTAATATCACGGCGGGGGACACATGAAATGGGCTTCACACATTGTACTGATGTGGGGAATCGAACCTGTGTCTTCGGCGTGACGAGTGAATGTTTTATCCACTAGGCTACCCCACTGTCCCCCAAACATTCAAAGATATTAGTCTATTTCATATTAGTAGAAAGCCATCTGTAGAATGGAAGTTGAAATAATCTGTACCCATTCAACCACTGGTTATGTTGATAAATTAAATATTCTTAATTTAAATATATATGAATTGATACATGACCGTGAAAAATAATCTTTCTGTTCTTAGGCATATTTTCAAATTAATGAGGTCACCAGACTGTACCCCTTTTTCTTTTCCATTTGGCTCAGGCAAAGTCAGTTACCATGGTGAAAAAATCTTTGTTAAAGAAAGATAACTTCATTTAAATCCAGATAAACTTTTCTTTGAAAGAAATGATATTAGGACCAGAAGTTTACTTGACCAAAAGTTATTGATCACCATGAAAAGTTCTGTCACACAGCTCGTTTGGAACAGCAAAGAAGATGACGAGAACCATTTAAATTTATCCATGGTCATATTGGATGCAGTATTTCAAACATTTGATTGTATAAATTACAATGTTTCTTCGAAGAGAAACATCAATTTTTTGATCTGATAAAACCAAATAATTATTGAATTGTTTTATCATTGCTCTCTGTAAATTTAACAATTTAACACATTTCCAATAATAAAAAGTCAACAATATATGTAACAACTACAAACAGCGACAACTTAATAAATAAATTTAATAAAGGCAATAATATTAAACCATAGCTCTTATCTTCCAACAATAGATACTCATGAAACACTTTAACTCATTGCAAGGCCAGTAACTAACGTCCAACTGCACACATTGCCAACATGTACAGTGGTACTTGTTTTTGCGTGAGACTTGCAACTTATTAATTCAGTTGCCAAATATTTTCAAACAGTTTCAATAAACATTTAAAGTAAAAACTAACAATACCATGCAACAGTTTATATTACTAAGTCTTCAGCTTTTAAAATGTGAAAGTTATGGACACTGGGGAAATACTTCTATTCTTTAATATATGCAAAGCATATGCAACACCTTAGGAATGACAGGTCACAACCATAGGATATTTTGTTCCTTGAGTTATTGCTCAAATGCCTCTTTACCCACGTACTTCTTTACTCGATGTATCTAACATTGCCTGTAAATCATGTTGGGCTAATTTTAGATGTCTGCTAAGGCTTAGCTACAGGTCAAGTTTGAAAAATAATCATTATGATTTGCTCATATCATTTCATGAGATCCTTACGTTAGTGCAGTGAATTTGTTTATTTTCAATCTCGAAACAGTCTTCTATGGCTTTTAAAATCTAATAAAAATTAAAATGAATTTGAAAACAATTGGAAAAATTACAAATAATTGTTTTCCTGTGGCCTTATCTTGTGGTCAGACTTCCTGGGATGTGCATGATACCAAAGCCTAAACTGTGAAGAGCATTGTTAAGCTGAATTTAGAAACTCTAGAACCAACTCATGCAGAATGGCTGAAGAACTGGGCCTATATTTTCGAAGCTCTCTTAGCGCTAAGATAGTCGTAAGCTAATGTTAATGTATGACACTTACGACTATCTTAGCTCTAAGAGAGCTTTGAAAATCTAGGCCCTGGTGTCAATCATAAATGTTGTCAATAGTGATTGTAATGAGCCTGCAGTATGGGTAATACAAAGTACAAGCTCTCCAATACTACTGTACTGTGTGTAGAAGAAACATCACATGCCCTGGACTAAGAAATGGAAAGTTGAAGGTCATTACGTGATAAAGGTCAGAAGGTGACAAAGGTCAAAAAGGGCAGAAGGTCATTCAAAGGTAACAATTTTTGTAATTAACAATCAACATGACAATGTCTTTTCGGCAACATCTGTTTACAAGCTCCAACAAGTTGATTCCATACATGCACAATCTTCATGCAAAGTTTTGGTTGCAACTTTCTAAATCCAGCCTACCAATACTATTGGCAGATGTGTGTAGCTTAATGCTATATGCAGTCTTCATATTATACATGATTGCTGTGCATTAATGTATTCCTTCAAACAGATGTTGAAGAACTTTTCACATCGATAAAATCAAATCAAACAAGAGAAAGAAGATTGGTAAGAACATTTTAAAGCACTTTGAGAACATGTAATTAGTTTCCCTTCCAATAGCATCATGTTCTTTGGATGTGTTTTGGAGATGTGATCATGAGTGTTTTCACATCTGTGAACAGTTCTAGAGCAATTTCCTTGAAGAAGTTGAACCATTCAAGGTTGTCCTGGCAGTTGAAGAAAAGTCGTTACAACTGAAGTCTCTCGGACACATGATCGGAAATATTGGATAAAAGGAACTTTCAGAAAAGATGGGATAGATGCACATCGAATGTACACAAGAAAAGCTTTAGTCCATCAGAGTAGGTTTGAGTAGTCCAATGTAATATCAATATTTGGAATCCATTCAAACATTCTCTTGTAAACATTTCTAAATGGATTCCTCTTCAATGCCAACAAGTAACACCAATATTGCTGCAAAGTTGTTTTTACATGACAAAGTTGATGCTGAATTGAATTCCACAATCTACAGAATGGTAACTGAAGATTCCAATGTTCCTGGAATATCAAATTCCATCATGCCACAGAATGATTAAAGCCTATGAGTTGTACAAGAACGTTGGTGCCATCTTTTCTGAAAGAGCTCAAGGTCAGTGCTCAATAATACCTCAAGGTCACAATACACATTCACATCAACATACACTTCCCCTTCAATTTTTCTTTTCGCTTTTGAGATTTAGATTTCTTTGTTTCAAGCTGAAGACTCATTGTCCGACGCTTCTCAAGCTGGAGAAGTTCTTGAAATAGTTCTTTAACATTATAGTTTGTTTTTGCCGATGTTTCAAGAAATGCGCAGTTCCATCGTTTTGCCAACTCCGCTCCCTCGGAAAGTGCTACCTCACGATTTGTCTCATCACATTTGTTCCCCACAAGCATTATGGGTATGCTTTCAGTGTCACCTTTTATTTGAATGATTTCTTCAAATATGGGTTTAAGTTCTTCTAGCGATTGTCGACTTGTGATGGAGTACACTAGAATGAAAGCGTGTCCTTTTGAAATGGATAACCTTTGCATGGCAGGGAACTGGTGGCTGCCAGTTGTGTCGGTGATTTGTAATGTGCACACTTGCTTGTTACAACTGATAACTTGGCGGTAAGTGTCCTCAATTGTTGGAATGTAACTTTCACGGAAGGTTCCTCGAACGAATCGCAGCACAAGTGAACTCTTGCCGACACCTCCTGCTCCGAAGACAACCACTCGGTAGTCATTGCTCTGTTCCGGCATCACGCGGAGACGAACTGAACGGTCCTTTGGTACCTGAAATTATAAAGATTTCAAATAATTAGATTGTTCATTTGAGTCTAATATTGGCATTTAGTGGTTACAATGTGTCACCAGGGTTACTGAAGACCAATTCTAACCCGGATCTTCATGGGTCACTTAGAGTGTGAGTGAGTTTGGTTTTACGCCGCTTTTAACAATGTTCCAGCAATATCATGTCAGGAGACACCAGAAATGGGTTTCACACATTGTGCCCATATGGGGAATCGAAATCCGGGTCTTCAGCATGACAAGTGAATGCTTTAGCCACTAGGCTACCTCACCGACAAACAGATACATGATAAAGGTGAATGTGGGATTTGAACCCAGGACCATAGGTTTTAAGCAAGCAAGGGATGCAACTCTCTAAGTATATTTGCTGCACCTTTCCCATGTACAACTTGATATTGGTTTAGTCTCATAAGATTTTATTAATGTCAAGTATCTTTGATATTTGGTTAGAATTATTGATAGGTACACTGACATTTGTTGATGTATTTTCAGACAGTACCAAATGCGGAATTGCTATTGCTACTTGTTATGTAGGTGTTTTTTAAATTGTTTGATACATGAGAATGTTTGTACTAATTATCCTGTGGTTTTTATATAGGTCACTCAGATAAGGAAATGTCAATTGTTATGCCATTCTCTTGAATTATGTCATGACATTTGCATTAATAGCTCTTTCCCTTGCAGCACTATTTCTGTAAGTGTAGTTAAACTCATGCATAATTAAACAACGCGTTTAACCAGTAAACGCATGGTAGGCTGAATAGAAATCACTAACAGAATGTCGGACAGATTATTCACTTTGTTCATAAGAGGCACGGGGAGCCCTAGTTGTCTTAAGTGCTAGGCGCAGTGAAGAGTTGTCTCCCTTGGACATGTCAGGAACCTAGGATCCTGGATCCAAATTATTGGTACCCCTAGCTCCATGCTTGTCAGACGGTGGAGATCCCAGGCTACGATAGGCCCCCAGTAGCTCACCCTCTCCATTCATTTGTCATTATTATTTATTTTATTTGTTTAGATTAATATAAGAGTATTTCAACTCTGATTATGCAGCCATACACTGAAATGGTTCATTACTAATCGTTACAATGTCAGGTTTATCTGTCGTTTATCTAATGTATCAATCCTACACTTACTCATCCAGCCCACAAACAAATTCATCATTCTAATTCAAAGCAGCAGAACCATTGCGTTTAAAAATTCAGTGCATGCAAGTAAAAGATGAATTTCAAGAGAACGTCATAAATGTTATATAATTGTCAAATTGAAACAATCAAATTTTCATTCTTCCAACTTCAAATAGTATGCCATGTTTCCAAGGTGGGTTTGCTCTCTTGAAACCATGAAACTGAAGAATTAAAATACCAATGTGGGTGTATACCATGACCGAACCAAGATAGAGAAGTAAACCGCTAAACCAACAGAATCATATTCAAAAGACATATGCATATCAGTTTGGTTTCCATGGAAATAGTGCCACAATAAATCCAGCACCTCATGTCCAAGAACTGGCACAAGATCATCCTTACACAAAGCAGCCATTTTGAAATGCAGACTATTAGATTATAATGCATATTTGAAAGAATCTTTGTCTTAGTTCATATTTGATACATGACTGAAAGTTAGGAAGATGTCCTTCTACCCAGTCGCACTTACCTTGGCAGTGGCCATGTTGAACTCCTCTCACGCGACTAATGAAATGAGCTAGTCATATTTGGAAGAATCTGTCAGTTTAGTTCATGTAATAGCACAGCTCAAGCCAGTAATAAGACTCATAGTCTCAAACACTGGAATAAATTATGCATTGGGACCTTTTCTCCACTCCTGCCATGAATTAGTTAGAAAGTCGTAGTACCATTTCGACATCTACCACCACATGACAAGCAGAACATTTCCTCCAGGCTTATTTCTGTGAGTCATGTACATGTATATGGAGTACTATAGGCTGGTTGTATGGCGTTTGTTGACTAAAGATCACCAGTATGCTTATTATATTTCCAAAATGAAATCTTTGAATATTCATGCAGGACTACCATGTATTGTCATGGGACTGGAATTTAGGGACCCCAAGGCAGGTTTCTTTGTAAATAGGTTGTAATAACTGAGGTCATTTTTTTTCATTTCACAACATTATAAACCTTTGCGTATTCCACAGATTTGATCTCTTGTGTGTGGGTTTAAATCTATAATAACCCTCAGATGTGCTTTATCTTTCTCATATCAACATTCTGGTCACTGAGTATTTCATTGAAATGAAATTGTCAGTTTAAAAGACATATAGTGTTTATTTAAGTCTTTTAGAGTATATCTGCACGCAAAATGACTTTTTTATACATGTGTACTGAATATTTGTGTGACCAAATACTCCAGTGGTATTGCATATATACGTCTATCAGTGGAGATTACCCTAAATACACAGACACTTCTCAGTTTCACACAAGTTGTAAATATAGTCTAACCCTTGATCGAACAGTAGGCATTTGAGAACAGTCTCCTAACAGCTGTCAAGTGATTTTTGTGTAATGAATTATGACAAAAAATGAAATATATTAAATCTGAACTGTTATGATGTAAATTCTTTATGAATTAGTATGCATGCATGTACCGGTAAGTAAAAATAGTATAAGAATGGTATAGAATACATATGTTATGGCCTATCATACAAGGTTATTTATAACCATAAGTTTGATCTATTTAACAATACATATTTAATCTGTTTCTCTCCAGGGGGCAGTTGTGTAGTCAAATGATTAAAGTGTTTGTACATCACGCCGAACACCTTGGTTCGATTTCCCACATTGGAACAGTAGGTGAAGCCTATTTTTGCTCTGATATTGCTTGAATTTTGCTGAAAACACCGTGAAACCTGACTGACTGACTGACTGATTATTTAGTAGAGAAAATGGCAATGGAACTTCTTGTTAAATATTAAGTGGTTAACACTGTCAGCCAGTTATCTCAATTTGTACAAGTTCATTTTGAAATGTGAAAGACATTTATTATTTAAGTAACGGTAAATTGAAAGATCTATTCTCTGGAACAGGTATAATTAGAATTTTGTGTTCATACAAATTAGACAAGGATAAAAAGTAAGGTTTTTACAAACAGTAAGGTTTTCTTCTAACCAAATACATGTTTCATAATGTAAAACTAGGTAATATTTTATTGGTCAACATTTTGTAATGATATCAACGTTACAGAGGAAACTACAGGTGGAAACCTATTATGCTTATTTCAGTGGTACAATCATACAAAAACTATGCACTCACTTATGCATACAAAATATATACATTAATTAAATATTTACTTACATACTAATTTAATATCTATGTGAAAAGATAACATGTTGACTTAAAAATGAACACTTCCTTTTTCCGTTTTTTGAATATATAAATATGCAGTTATTGAAAAAAACTTCATTGGAATATAAATACACACAAACATTCTAATGAAGATGAATTACAAAACATATATGATATGAAATATAAATACACACAAAAATGACAATAAAATTGAAAACTATTAGTTCCTAATATGAACAAATTATTCATGATATTGAACTAAATGACAACTAAAGATAATCTCTATCTACTGGTACTCAATTTCAGTAGACTAAGGATCAACATTACGCAATGAAAACCATACACTACAATATGGTGAACACTCGAAAGTCAAGTGGAACTAATGTCAGAAAGATGGCATCTCATCAATCTCCTTGTCTGATTTGTTAAGTGTTGAGCACTGTGCACATATGTGTTTCTTTGCGCCCCTCCCCTCCCCTACCAAATGTTTGAATTTGTTCGTAGTATATTTAAATATCGATACCAATTTAGAAATAGTGAGGCAAATTACCCCCTAACTCCCCCAAACAGAAAAAAAACCCAAAGACAACAAAACAAACATTTTAATTGTTTTATACTGATGAGTGAGTGAGTTTAGTTTTACGCCACTTTTAGCAATATTCCAGCAATATCACGTCGGGGGACACCAGAAATGGGCTTCACACATTGTACCCATGTGGGGAATCGAACCCAGGTATTTGGCATGACGAGCGAACACTTTAACCACTAGGCTACCCCACCGCCCCTTATACTGATGAGATCACCAAGGATTATGAAAAGAAGCAATACAAATGTGGGACAGTCGTTTCTGATATCTGAACTACAGTATTATTTTATTCCTCAAACCTGGTGATGGTTATCAATGTATTATAAATGGGTTGTCTGTGAATGTCAAGTGAACAAATACCTACCCAGGATTTTTAGGTGATATCAGATACAAAAGATCAGATATATATCGGTAAAAATTCCCCCCCATAGAAATTAAAAATTTCCATATGCCTTGATAATTCTCCTTGTCAAAGAATTAGTTTTGCATGACGTATTTCATTGATAACATAACTTATAAAAAGAGCATGTCTGTAGCACATTGTCTGCATTGTACATAATGCTAGAATAACTCTAAATTTAACATGTTTAAGAAAGTAATTGTTTTAACAAATTCCAGAATTGGTTTTCCTGCAATACAGTTTTCCTACCAAAGGCAAGAAATGACAATCCCAGAAAAGTCTACAAACCAAGAAGTGACAAGAAGATAATGGCCATCCCGGTATGCAGTGAAACTTTGTTAAACCAGACCGTGTTTAAAGTCTTTGCACAGCATTTAGGAGTATTATACATGAAAGGTGAGAATTAATGGATGTCAACTTCTTTATTGTGAGGAACACGATGTTTTGGAGTATATTCGTACTCCTTCATCAGATGAATGAAAAACTAGGTAGCAGCCAGCTAGTACGTGAAACATCAACAGATCCTGCCTGATCGGAAACACCGGCTTCCTGTCAATATTATTTATAGTACACACATCAGACTGCTGATAAGAATCCATTTTATTCTTGTATATGAGATTTGAATCCCCATCAACTGATACTCTGAAGTACGTGTATTACGAACATGCTGATAACATACTGATAGATACACAAACTA